CCCGCCCGAGCCCGTCGCGCGCCCCTGTGCCGGCCCCCGCGGCCAGAGCGCGCCCACCTGAGCCCGCGCGCCCACCTGAGCCGGCGCCATGGCGGAGCAGGAGAACCTGGAGTTCGGCAAGGCGGACTTCGTGCTGATGGACACCGTCTCCATGCCGGAGTTCATGGCCAACCTCAGGCTCAGGTGAGGGCGGAACCGCCGCGCATGAAGGGGAGCCTCGCTGGGCTTTTCCCAGAGGGGGCACTCCTGAGGTGACTCCGGGTTCGGGGTGTCGGGGGCGCGCGCAACTCCCGCGGTGGGGATGGCGGGGGGTCCGCTGAGCTCGGTGGTCACGCCTTCCAGAGAGAGCACCCCTCCGGGTGCGGCACTGGGGCTCCGGGGTGTGCCCAGGTCCGGGGGTGACATTTAGGGGTGCAGGGGGTGGTCCTTGAGTGCTGTCAGGACCGGGAGTGGTAGGGGCGTGCCGACCTGCCGAGCTGGAGGTGCGCGGGGGCCCGCAGCTGCCTGCGGCGCGCCAGGTGAGCGATGTGGGCGGGACCCGTGACTTCATGGAAAAAAAAGTGAAGGAAGAGAAAAACTTTGCGGAGAGCGGTGGTGGCCCTGGCGGCCCTCGGGAGACGGAGGGTTGTTTTGGAGAGAGGCTGACATCTCCTCCCGGTTTCACGCTTGCTTTTTTTCTTTCCTTTTTCTTTATTCCCCCCACCCCCACCCCCGCGTAGTTCCATCCTGTCATTCAGGATACTGTGGAGAGATCTGTCCTGTTCTGGGACACGGCTATTTTTTAGTCACTCGTTCGACGTAATTAGACACGTTTCCAGACATCGAAGAGACTGCTATACTTGCCAGTGCCAAGATAAACTGTCTGAATTTGACAAGGCGTTCATGGTTTTGGTTTTTTCAAGGAGTTATGGATGGAGCCCTTGTGTTACTGACATCCTTGAGAATTTAGTCACCACTCAGCGCCTCAAAATGGGCTTCCAAGAGGAACTTGTTTTAGAGTCTTCTGATTGTGATTATTTCATTCTTCATATATATATATATATATATATGCAGAGTTTTAAAGCATCTGAGTGTTAAGAAAAATGAAATAAGTTTCAAAATAGCTGTGTGTGTGTGTGTGTGTGTGCGTGTGTGTGTGTGTGTGTGTGTTCGTTCCCGGAAAGTTTGCTCTGTTGCTTGTAAAGTTTATAGCCAAACATCGTTTCTTAAGCTTATGAAGTGAAAATCATATTCTAAGTTTGGATGCTTAACTAGCCTAACTTTTCAGTATTATTAGTTCCTCCTGTCAACCTTAATTTCAGAACTACGCGCACACATACACACACACACACACACACACACACACAACCAACCAACCAACCAACCAACCAACCAACCAACCAACCTGGTTTAGTCTTTGAAATAGCAAGGCAAATGGTTTCATTTGTTCTTTTTCACAGTGCAGCTGGGGGTGAACTTGAACTTCTGATCCTCCTGCCTCTACCTCCTGAGTGCTGGGATTGCAGGTGTGTGCCAGCACACCTGGTTTATGTAGTGCTGGGCATCAAACCCAGGGCTTGGTGCATGCTAAGCAAGCACTCCATCTTTTCTTGATCAGGCTTCCTTAGGTCTGGAGCAAGAATGTGGAGCAGGAGCACAGACCTAAGTTCTGCACCTGCCTACTGTAAACTGACCTTGACTTGTCAGGGAGCCTTAGTTTCTTAATGCATAAAATAATGAGGAGCTCCAGGATTTTTTTCAGTGCTGGTATCAGAAGTTTCATTCCAAGTGTCCCTGTGAATTCGATTCTAAAATCAGAGGATGAACTGGGCATGGTGGTGCTCACCTGTAATCCCAGCTACTCCAGAGCATGATGTTGGAGAATATGAGTTTGAGGCCAGTGTGGGCAATTTGGCAAAGATGCTGTATTAAAAAATTAAAATCTTGCTGGGTATTGTGGTACATACCTTAAATCCCAGCACTTGGGAGGCAGAGGCTGGATGATCTCTGTGAGATCAGGGCCAGCCTGGTTCAGAGCAAGTTCCAGGCCAGCTGGGGCTACAGGGAGACCCTGTCTCAATAAATAATAAATAAACAAATAATAAATAAATAAATAGTAGTACACCATATCTGTGGGGCTTATGTTCTAAGGACACCCTCCCCCCATCATGCATAAACCCATATACTGTATTTTCCCTATAATTATATACCAATGATGAAGTTTTATTTATAAATTAGACACAGTAAGAGATTAACGATAAAAATAGATGTCTCATAACATCGTACTGTAATAAAAGTTATGTGAATGGAGCTTCTCTGTTTCTCTTTCATAAGTTTTTTTTTTTTTTTTTTTTTTTTTTTTTTTTTTTAAAAATTTTTTTTTTTTTTTTTTTTTTTTTTGGTCTTTTTGAGACACAGTCTCCCTGTAGCCCCAGCTGTCCTGGAACTCACTATGTAGACCAGGCTGGCCTTGAACTCACAGAGATCCACCTGCCTCTGCCTCATAAGATCTTTTTGTGTTCTATTCACTCTTCTTAATGGCAGATAACTGAAACCTCAGAAAGTGAAATTTTGGATAAGGAAGTTTACATTATTTGCATATAACCTTTACACATCCTCCCGTATTCTTGTTTTTCTCCTTTGCTGTGCTGGGGATTGGACCCAGGGCCTTGTGTGTGCTAGGCAAGTGCTCTACCACTGAGCTATATCTCTAGCCCCTCCTGTATACTTTAGAGCACATCTAGGTTATTTATATAATACAGTGTAAGTGGTATGTGAATAATTTTTATACTGTATTATTTAGGGAATAATGGCAAGAAAAAGTCTGTACACATTCAACACAGGCACAGTGTTTTCTCCAAATAAGTTCAACTCTCAGTTGAGCATACGGAGCCAGCAAATGTAGAGCGCCAACTATAATCAAGTTGTATCCATGACATGATAGCTTGTTGCTCTTTCTTTTTTCTTCTTTTTTTTTTTCTCTAGAGCCTTGCCGTGTGTGTCCTCAAACTTGCAGCATTCCTCTTGCTTCAGCCTCCTGAGTTCTGGGATTACTGGCACACGACATCATGGCTTGCATGTCAAATTTTGATGAAAGTTTAGACGACTAACTTTTATATATATAGTTCTCTTTTTTAAAGAATATTTTATTATTTTTATTTTATGTGTATGAGTGTTATGCCTGCATATAGGTAAGTGCACCTGTGTCATGCGATGCCTGTGGAGGACAGAAGAGGCTGTTGGATCCCCTGGACAGTTGTTAGCTGCCATGTGGGTGCTGGGATTCGAACCCAGGTCTTCTGCAAGAGCAACCAGTGTTCTTAACCGCTGAGCCATCTCTCCAGCCCCGACAACTAACTTTTCAATAAATGTCCTCATTGCCATAGTCAAAAACACAGTTACATTCTGCTGTACCCCGACTGTAGTGGTTAGGAGTCAGACAGATCAGACTCAGGATTCCAGTTCTACCACTTCCTGCTGTGGTCTGTGAATAGGTTACTTAAATCTCCCAGTACCTTGATCTTCTTATTTATAGAATTGGGGTTGTCTTGAGGTTAAATTAATTAATACGCATAATTCCAAAAACCACTACCTGGCAAATACTCATTAGCAATGCTGCTTAACTTTTCCCAAGTGCACATAAAGCAAGGAAAAAGGTATATTAAATAGTAATTTCATCGATTAAGCTTGCTCAAAGCCTATTTAGAAGGTTCTGCCCTTCTTCCAGGATAGAGCTATGTGCTTCAGAAATCTCTTTATAATTTAATTACTCTAAATTAATCATTTCAGTTTAGTAGACATTAGTACATTTACCAAGTACATACTGCATATAAGGCACAACTATAAATACTTGAATATGGAATCTCATTTTAACCTCCATATGCCATATCTATGATCCACATGACATGACATTAGCTAGAACGCTGAAGAGTTTTCTGAATTTGAAGTTGAAGGCTTAGAATCTGAGTTACATTAGTTTTAAGAACTGTTCCTTTGTGGGGCTGGAGAGTTAGCTCAGCAGCTAAGAACACTGACTGTTCTTGCAGAAGACCCAGGTTCTAATCCCAGCACCCACATGGCAGCTAACAACTGTCTGTAACTCCAGTTCCAGGGGATCCGACAGTCTCTTCTGTCCTCTGTGGGCATTGCATGACACGGGCGCACTTACCTACATGCAGGCAATACACACATACACATAAAATAAAAATAATAAATTTTTTTGAAGAAATATTCCTTTGTGCCAGACATGGTAGCATACTCCTATAATCCCAGCAATCCAGAGACTGAGGCAGGAAGAGCTCAAGTTCAAGTCTCTGTCTCACAAACCCAATCCTCCAAAAACAGAAAAGAAAAAAGAAAAGCTAACAATAACAAAACTCCCCAGTTCCTCTGCAAATGTTATGGCTTAGTAATGTTTTACTATTATTGCTGTTGTTATTTTGGCGGTGCTGGGGGTCTAACCTATGGCTTGTGCATGCTAGGAAAATGTTCTTCCCTGAGCTACAGCCTCAGCTGGTGTTGGCTTTTTTCTTAAGTAAGTCGAAAGAAGGTATTTAGAATGCTTTTTAAAGGCTTTCACATTCATTAGTTGCAAGCTCTCTAAGTGTGTAGTTTGAATTGATAGATCTTTAGCATGAACCTACTTTAACTCCCACATGCACAGAAGAGAATGCTGCAATTCAACTTCCTTTAAAGTACTCCAGGGAATGAGATGGGTGGATGCAAAGAATTATGAGTAAAATGTGTTCCTTACCTCAAAGAGGTGGCAGGTAAGTGAACACAGGGAGAAAGGTGACAGTTGCTGTTAAAAAGCAGAAAAACAACAGAAGAGATAAGCTTATAGAGCTAAGATGGCTATTTGCCAATTAATTATATAAACTAATTGTTCTGGAAGTTCAAAAGAGGGAGCGATACAGGTGGACTCAGGAACACTGTGGAGAGGAGGAGTTGAGCTGAGTCTCATAGGATGAATAGTATTTGTCTAGGTGGACATGTGGGTGGAGAGCATTCCAGGTGGATGGAGTGTTATGAGTAGGAGTTGGTAGTATGAAAGCTGACGGTGTTTAGGTGACAGTGAATAAGCCTTGTTGTCTGTAGGAGGAGTTGGTGTTGGAGAATCTATAGGACAAATCATCAGCTCTCATTCGCAGGATTCCTGGCTAATGCCCAGATTTCCAGTCTGCCTTTTCCCTGTCACTCTGAGT